AAGTATGGAATTTTCAGCGTGGATATCGGTAGCCCGAATTTCGCAGACTGACCATAGATATCAGGTGTGCGTCGGCGAGGGCTCGAACCCCGGACCATGTGCATGGTCGGCAAGAGTCCTAACCGCTGTGCCACCGACGCACACAAAAATGACGCTGCCTGGTCAAATAAGTGAAGTGGTAGTGAACTCTTCCAAATTTCTACCGTTGACAGAGAGAGTGACTGATGACCACATGTACATTTAATTCAATTGGTAGATACAGTCGAATGATAAGGCTACAAACCATAGAATTACCAATGAAATATGTGCCTTTGTATCGACCATCTTAAAACTTACAACACTTCTCCTCTCCTCTTTCCTTCTTCCCTCCTACACTTAATCATTCAATCTCCATCATCATCATCACTTTGTCATCCTACTATCCCGTCCATCAAACTCATACAACCCTGTGTGTGTGTGTGTGTGTGTGTGTGTGTGTGTGTGTGTAAGTGTGACTATAATAACAATACTTTTCCCTAGTAACAAGTTATATTTTTTTTCAAGAATTAGTTTGGAGGGATTCTGTTTGTTTCAAGCCAGAACATGAATTGATATCAGTTAGAGAACCATTGAAAAGCCAGCAAGGAGTACTGGACAGCTGTCTTGTCAGCCTAGTTCGGGATTCCTATCCCGCAGTACGTACCCACGACAGGGGGGTTAGCACCTAGCACCTTTCTGCTACAAGGCAAGCTACCATTCACCACACACTGCGACCCGACTGAATGGCCAGTAGTCGTCCATGAATTCTACCAATTTCTACCAATTTGTGATTTTAGCGCAAGTTATATTGTGTTACGGCTAACTAGCCCCCTCATCAATCGATGCATCGTTACATTATTATAATCGCTCAAGTAATTCATTTCTCTAATGTGAGTGTTTTCCTATATGTAAGTGTAAGCATGAGGGGAAGAGGGAGGGATAGAAGAGTTTTTAAAAATAAAGCAAAAATCAGAACATAGAAGTTGATTACTACTCATCATTATATATAAATATTAGATATATGTAACCATATACATATGTAATAATAACAATAAATACTAATCGCGTTTAACGATATAACAGCGGAAGTATTAGGACTAGAATTAGTGAATTAGTTAGCAAGATAGGCAGGCAGGCAGGCAGACAGACTGGTAGCTAGTTGTTTAGTTAGTTAGGCATACTTTCTTTTGATTTACAGAACCTAGTCGGACTGTTCTAATCTTTCAGTTATGATCTTATATATATAAGGGGACAGGTTACAAAGAATAAATTATTATATTAAAATCTTTACGATTCACTGAACTTATCAACGATTAAAACAAATTTTTAAAAAAGAACTTGTTGTTGAAATTATTCTTCCATGCTTTGATAATTTTTATGCATTATACACAATAATCACTACTACTACTACTATTACAATTACTAATATAATACTACAATTACCTTTATTTAGGCAGGATACATTCAAAGTATCTATGGTATTGTGAAGTAAGAGAGTGAGATATTACACGATGATTGGGAGAATCAAGATGCTTTCATCAAAGATCAAGTGACTTTTAATGAAATATAGATTAGCTCGCAACAGACTACTTATTATTAATAAGATATTAAGAGTAAAATAATTGATGGTGAAATGATAATCTTAGGAGCTGGGGGAGGAGGGGGTTGAGGGTACAGGCAGGAATCACAGCAACATTCGAACCAACAACCGCTGTCAATTCAACTTGGATCATAGACCGATATCAATTAGAGGAGTAATGAACGGAAAGCGGTTTCGTCTTAGTTTGGGAAAACTCTTTATTCAGTAGTATTCATGTATGATGATACTGGGCGTCGAATCCAAGCCCGTTGACCATTCATCACAGCTATTTTGGCTGGAATTCATAGTGACCCGTGGTATAGTGCAACTCTCACTAGTACCTTCGATGAGCATCGACTTCATTTTAACATAGTGGACCCTCCGGGCCTCCCGTCCGACTCCAACTGGTCATGATTTCTTACTATCTACAGCTCTTCGGAGATCCGTCCATTTGAGTAGTAATCAATAAGGTGACAACTGATATTCAGATTATGATATATGTGAGGATTTGTATGAATTAAATTGTAATTGCTAGATTTCTTCACGAATTAACATTGTAGTGTGCTACTGATAAGATTTATAAGTAGTATATGTATATAAATAGCTGTCCATCGGCGTAAAACATCAAATATCAGAGAGATACATTTGATGCCAGAGAAGGAAAATGTGTTACAGCTTTGAGGAGATACATGGGAGACGTGAAAGGAACACAAAGAAACACAATACGAAGGATAACCAGAAGTAGTAACACTACACGAAGGTCTGTGAAAATTGTGCGTTAAAGATAAGGTGTATATAATATGACTACATAGAGATACCAATTTCTAAATAAACATTGATTGACTAGGTCTTCGTCTTCTACTGTTATAACATTGGTTAGTAGGGTCATTTTAAACCAGGAAGTACTGGAACAGAATACTGACTTCCGATGATTTGCGATATAGAGTACAACCCACCACCAGCCAATGTTATCATCAGTGAGTATTTCTCCCCGAAAGTTCGACTGATTTAGTGGTCACAACTGCTAAATAGAGGTTTAGGCAACTTCATTTTCTACTTAGTCAATAGTGAGCATTACATCAGATCAGAGAAGAAGAATCTAAAAACTGAGAGACGATAACCAATAACCATCAGAGGGTTATATTACTAAGCTGTCATGTAATCCGCTGACATGTCACTGATACAGACGACATGGTACAGCCGAGGATAGGTAAGCTTCGACTATCCTCTCTAAATGCTCTCATGTTGCCACACAATCATAGCCTCCGCGTCACGTAAGCAATATCCATTGTGTTCACGCCACTGTGTGTGAGAGGGACGTTCCTTACAAAAGCTAAAGGGAGAATGAAAACGTTCGACGCATAAAAAAGAACCGGTGGACATCCACGTTTAACTATAGTGTACACGGAACCCAGAATCCAAAAGGATCGAATAGCGTATGAACGCGTTTTAGCCACCGGAAACCATGAGGACATAGCTAGTCCACTGCCCTGTGAATAAAACATCAAGTCAAAGGGTTGTGGGTTCTCACAGAAACTGTGAGATTTTTTGTGGGATATCCTCTTGGTGCCCTGTATGTCATCATCTTCTTAAATACTACCGACGATTACCATTTCAACTCCCATACATCTCTGAACGCAAATACACACACGCACACACACGCAGTTTAATGGTTTGAATTACTGTCCTTACATATTTCAAGATTATTTCAGTTTTCATTGATTAGTGGCTAGAATGTAACCGGTGGAATTCTATCAATCAGTCAAGTTTGCAATATGGTTAACAGGTTAGATAGTGAGCAACCATTACTGTGCCATTTCATCATAATCGATGTTAGAAAAGAAAAACCCCCCCCCCCCAAAAAAACAGAACTTGCCTAATGAACTTTTTAAATTTGCCTTTTTTCCCCTTTAACTTAATTAAATTTGTTTTTTTTCTTTGGCTTTAAAAGCCTACATTTTGTTTTTGTTAATTTTTCCTAAAATTTTTCCTAAACTAAAAAAAAACAATTTTTTTAAATATGAATTTTTAAATTCCTTTCGTCAAAATTTTTTTTTTTTTTTTTTTTTTTTTTTTTTTTTTGTTTTTCTTTGTTTTTTTTTTTTTTTTTTATTTTTATTTATTTTTTTTTATAATACTCCTTTTAAAATGTACGATGAAATTAGATGCAATATTGTAGATATGTGCTGAAAATTCCACACTGTACCACAAGTACTGTTTCTGGAATAAAGCGAAATTGTTATGTTATGTTATGTTAAATGGCTGACAGATAGAATTTGGTTAGCATCAATACCAAGAACTAGATGCATTGTATCACTTTACTACTATCTAGTGACTAGTCAATATATGTCTATTACAGTCGTACAGTAGATCGTCAGTTGTGATGCTGAATAGTTCAGTGGAAACGTCTCCCACTTCATCACTGGATGTTGCGGATTCGAATCTCAAACAGGGGCAGGACATTAGTTCCTTTACGATTGCAGATACGTCTAGCTGTGATGGGGTGCTAACATTTACCAAACCTATTTACATTCAGGGATTTCTTACCCGCGAATAAATGCATGACAAACTTTATGCTCCAAAAATAGCATTTTCTGGAGTGAAAACTACTCAACTTATTACAGTATGCTGAACTACCACCCATAAAGTATCCGAATAAATTTCAATGAAGATAACCGGAAGGTATTTGACAGCATCTACTTAATTCTATTCATTTTTACTAAGAGACAACTTTGTAACACTAAAACTACTGTCACTACTGACTGACTGACTGACTGACTGACTGACTGACTGACTGACTGACTGACTGACTGACTGACTGACTGACTGACTGACTGACTGACTGACTGACTGACTCTGTAGGACGAAGTTGCTTGAAGTTCTAGTGAAAGGAAGTCCAGTCCATGACCAGTGGGGGTTAAGGACAAATGCCCATTGATGACACTGGTCGGTGGGTAGTCACGCTAAAAAGCTGACAATTGACAGAAGTTAGAATTTACAGGTTACTGGATTCCAGCCCAAAGCTTTACCTCGTAACCTGAGGTCCCAAGGTTGTGGATGTGTACTGCAGATGAATCCCAGTCTACTAGGACGAAACAGCTTTCCAGTACTCCTTGCTGGTTTCCAATGGTTCTGTAACTATTCTCAAACCATGATCAAACTTGAAATAAATCAAATTCTTACAAACTAACTCTCCATAAATAATATTAATACAAGTAGATTAGAGGGTGAGGAAACAACCAGTTATAACCAGGAGAGAAAGGCTATGAAAACTACGCAACTAGACGCCATCCAGCTCAAAGAAGACAACTACATACATAAACACTTGGGCTCATAAACCAAAAAATAAAAGAAATTATTCAGTTGCTCAGCAAAAACAACAAACTTTAAAACAATAACTCACTTCTACTTTACGACGAGCTTCAGCTGTTGCCAATTCTAACTGGCTAATATCAACATGTTTTAAACCCGACTCTTTCAAATCACTCAAACGTTTCTCAGCTTCAATCAGTGATTTCTCATGTTCTTCTAATGCCATAAAATGACTCTAAAAAGTAAAAAGAGTGAAAAAGAAAATATCAAAATAAATTACTATTTTTTAAAGTTGGGAGAGAAACGATAAGGCAACACTTCTAAATGATATTTAATTGACGGATGGTGGCTAGCAGTGGAATCCAGGATGTGGGTGTTTCGTCCTATTTGGGACTCATCACTGAGTGTACCTGCATTTCTCAGTGAGTGATGATGTTCCCACCGAGACTCGAACCCAGTGACCATAATTTCAAACACCAAAGCGTTATTCAATAGATCACTTAGTGTATCCAACTGACGAGTCCCAAATAGGACGAAATGCGCATTATCCTGGATTCCACTGCTAGTCAACATCCACCAATTAACTTCTAATTACATGCCCAGACATCGTCAAAGCATCTGCACAAGAAGTCTACAGACATGTCAACCTGAGACCGAGCACTTCGGTCCAATCAATCTAAAATTCAATTAAACTTCAAAATGATGTTGAAAAGCAACTGAAGAAATCAGTACAGTGAGTGCAGATGAAAGTGATTCACAAATACGTGTAACCAGTCTTTGGGTCATACAAAGTCTCACTGAAAATGATAGCTAGTATGATATCAAAAACACATACCACTACCAATAATTTCAACTGTGAGCATCTATCATCCCTAGGTGAACTTAAAACAAAATAAGGCAAGTAAGTACATGAAAAATTTATCACTTCCCATGGCCTTTTCTAAGTGTCGGTTTGTGGTTTGATCACGACATGAAATTAGTTAGGGAATTATTAGAAAACCTCGGAGTGCTGGACTGCTGTTTTGTCTCCTTTTTTCAGGAGTCTTTATCAGTAAGAACCCACCGGGCGGCGTTCGAAACCAGAACCTTCTGGCTAGAGCTCTTAGAACATTCAAAAACTTGGACCCGGTCCAAAGGCCCGTGATCTAATATTCAGCGGAACCGCATATTCAAGATCCAATCAAATCCCTACAAACTAACACACCTGAAAATTAACCAGATTCTCACTAGGAACTGGCTACAGGATGAAGTTGGCTGGATTCCAGTAAGAAGTCATGATACTCGGTTCCACCAGGTTCAGCGCCAGGAAGACTACTAGCGAAGGCGTGCTTCCCAAGTCATTCTATCAATGTAACTCTCGCCAAAAGAGCTGTCGAATTTATAAACGCACACTGAAATCGTCACAACCAGTAGCTTATCCTTTAACTGCACTGCAATTTCACGACGAACTGTGGATTTTAAACACAGTGTCGAGACAAAGAATGTTTTAGCTATTGTACCGACAGAAGACAAGGACCAGACAACAGATCCTTTATTGAGGAAATCAACAGATATTTATAGATTTTTATGTAGACTATTATTCGTTATTATTAGCAGAGAAACAGCATCTTCTGATTGGTTGTTCTCTCTCTCTCTCTGAAAGTTATTCTATCATCTCTACGTGGTCATTTCTTTGAAGGTCAGACCATGTATCTGTGAATCCTATCCACCCACGGAAAGTCTTTTTTTCTTGTTTTGTCTCATGACCAAGATTTGGGAAGTAAACATTGACTTAAATTGCTGTCTACCAATTTTGGCTAGCAGACAGCTCTCACCACACTATTGATTTTCTTAGTTTGGATGCCAGTAATGCAGTAGATGCATCTCTTTGGGACGACAAAGTGATGTAACCATACTTTTCTTATACGCTGTTTATGGGTATTTCTCTCTATCTCCTCTCATCAAGAAGACTTTAACAAATTTTCCTGGATATCTATTCTCATATAATAAGTTTCCCACTTTCCCTAATTCATCGTTCAGAGTGTCGATTGTACAGATTTTTCTAACACTCGAAACATCAGAGTACTGATGAGATTTCATTTTTATGAAAAAATGGAATAAGCCATCTGAAATGTGTAATAATGACCAAACCTTGAATTTTTTTCCAGAAAATTTTCCGTGTAATTCTGTCATCTGACCTTCTTGGTAGTGGGACATCAAGGAATGACTGACTGATGGACTAATTTCAACATAGAACTTTACACAGGTGTGCAGCAGTTCGAGTTGCCACATTCCTCTCTTTTGGGCAAACATACACAACGCAAGAGAAGAGAGTAAAGACCGATTCAGAAGAGAGATAATACACATAAATATTTGGCAAAAAGAATAGGAATGTGGAAGAATCCATCTGCGTCACCATCGAGAGGATTTTCAGCCGTATCGTCGACATCAAGTAATGGACCCACCCACAACCCTAAATCTTCCCTCTTAGCCGATATGTTTATACCAAAATTGAAGAATCGTCAACTCAAATATATAATCAACAAATTCTCCCCTTCTATTGTAGATAGATAGATGAACAGCACTTTTATCTGGCATAAGAATGAAATCAATGTCAAAATCCTTCTTAAACCGTTCAGTATACCTCAATCACAAGTTAAGTCCACGTATCAACAAGAAGAGAGACAGTAGTGCATCATTGTTTGCTGTCTTGCTTTAGCAATACATAACATGCATCAGAAACTTTCTGTACGATCTCTGTCATCAGTTATTTTGGTCTTCATTTTATCATGTGATTCACTAAACCTTTTTATTCCATAAGGTTACACTTTGTTCTGTTTTGTTTTACTTTCAAATTGTAACATTTTATCTATCTTATTTTTATTGACGACACTTATCTTATCCTTATCTCTCCATCTTATTCGCAATGGAGCACGACAAATTCATGATTACTTATTATTCCCCTTAGTTTCCAAGTTGAACATACGGAGGGCTTCACCAACACATCTCCACTTTCTTCTATTTTCTGCCATCCTCTTCAGCTGGCTATCTCCACGATTGACCATAATCTCTCATCTCCTCCAACTCGCCATACGATCTCCTCCATATCACCCTTACACCCGACGACCCACTTGTCTCTTCCCATTCACTTGCCACTCCAGCGATGGCTTGCATTCAGAGCGATGTCATTCGACGGCCTCCTCAACGTATGCCCCCTACCGATCCATCTCAATTTTCTCCCACATATTTGTTGAAAATCGGCTCTCGCCTTTTGGTTTGTCCCCAGTCAGCCAGGTAGCTAGAATGTTGCTGATTCTTTCTGGTCGGCTGACCACTTTAATCTTCAGTATCGAGCCAGTAGTCTGTTGGAAATGCCTTTGGTTGACACGCTTTGCAAGTTTCTGACCAGCATAGAAGTGACTGACCTCACATTTGCGCTGAAAATCCGAATCTCTTTCCTTATGTTGAGGAGTGTGGAAGATTTTCAAACTGGTTTCAATTTGATAAAGGAGTATCTTGCCTTCCAAATTCCAGCTGGTCAGTTGGCTTTCACATCCTCATCCACGCGGCGTGTATCTGTGGTTGAAACCGTGATTCCTAGATGGATAAGTGAAGGCAAGAAGTAACCTGTGTCAAATCTGTCCCATTGATGATGATTGGTGCCAGTTGTTGCTGCTGTTGCTGTTCGTTGGTTGGTTGGTTATCTTCATTACCTCCGTCCCCACCATCTCTATGTTCACCTGAACTCCTGTCTTCGCTGCATGCCAACCTCTTCAGCCAGTTTGTTGGTTTTTACCTGCAAGTTTTAGTATTTGTGTAAAATTTAAAAAAAAATCATCCACAGACGCAAACCAGATCTTCTAGACTCTTCTTATCGGTCAGTCCAATGTATTCCTGTTTCTCACTCCCAACGCGCACAGTCTGAGGCATAATCTAGTCCACCGCATTTAGGAATATTATCCCCGGTGATAATAGGCAGACTGCCTTGTCTTACTTCTGCATTCACTTCGAACGCCACGCTGAGTTTTCTATTGTGGATCACCTGACACGTGTGCCAGAGACATATAGCTGTTGAATGAGATTGATAAACTGCTTCAAAACTGCACGACAAATTCACATTTCTGTTATATACACTTAATTTTCGCAAAGCCTTAGACTGTCACCTTTATTTACAGTACAAGCGCAATGCTTGTATCTCTCTCTCTCTCTCTCGCCCTTCTTTATAAACAACTGAACCCGATTGGTTTCTCCTTTTTTTTAACTCTTTTAACCCACCAGTGCAATTAGTGTCTACAAGGTAGAAAGTGAAATAAAAATTAAAAGAGTAAATTGACTGACGCAATATGATTGACAGGAGTGAGTTGTATTCAGCTAAAATTGAACGAGAATCAAGTTAACAACAGTGTTAATAAGGGGTAGAGATTTAATAGAGAGTAAGGGAAAAAAATAGTACGATGAAAATAAAGAAGAAAAAAGACAAACAGAAAGGACGTATCCGGTGTTAAAATCCATTAAATCCATTGTAGATTAAATGACTGAATAAGCTTCTTCATCTTCTTCTTCTTCTGTATGCAGAGTTCAGGGATTTACAATATGGACTACCATTGCTTCTATACTTTGAAGAAGTTCGATTCGTACTCTTTTAGGCAAGATTCCTACACCCTAACGAACATAGTCTCTAAAATCCTAGGCTCAGTAATCATGCATAGACTAAGCAGAACTCGGGAGGAACAGACAAGGGAAAATCAAGGAGGCTTTAGACCAGGTAGAGGGTGCATAGATCATATCTTCACTCTTCGACAGATTCTAGAACATAGACACACTTTTCGGCGTCCAACAATTGCAATTTTCTTGACTTGAAGGCGGCCTTCGACTCCGTGGATCGAAAGGTACTATGGCAATGTCTGACTGTGAAGGGAGTGCCAAGAAAGTACATTGCACTAATCAAGGCACTCTATTCAAACTCACGTAGTCGTGTAAGGGCTTATGGGGAATTGTCATCTGAATTGGTAACAACCAGTGGTGTCCGACAGGGATGTCCACTTTCCCCATTTCTGTTTAACTTCATCATAGATATGCTGATGGAAGTATCCTTAACTGAACGTAATGACTTAGGAATCGACTTGTTACCAGGGAATAGTCTTATGGACTTAGAATATGCAGATGACATAGTCCTGTTAGGGGAGGATGATGACAAAATGCAGAGTTTTCTGAACACTTTGAGCAGCAATCTTCGTATGTTCGGCATATGATTCGCCCCCGCAAAATGTAAGATGCTGCTACAGGACTGGACTACGTCAACTCCTAACTTAGTGATAGGGAGTGAAGTGATAGAACATGTTGACCACTTCACCTATTTGGGAAGTTGTATCAGCATCAATGGACTGATTGGCGACGAAATCTCAGCAAGGATCCAAAAAGCTCGAGCTGCTTTCGCCGACTTACACCATCTCTGGCGCAGGCGTGACATCCGGCTGGCTATCAACCAAGGGACGTGTGTACTGCTCATCAGTTCGCTCCGTCCTTCTCTATGGCTCTGAAACATGGCCAATACGCGTTGAAGACATGAAAAGGTTGACTGTTTTTGATCATAGATATCTACGATCTCTTTCTCACGTTAGGTGGTATAATAAGATAAGTAATGTTGACGTTAGGCGTAGAGTGTTGGGCAAACAGGGAAAATCAATCGACGAGGCTACAAAGTTACATAGATCGAGATGGCTAGGTCACGTGGTGCGCATGCATAACCATCGCCTCCCCCGACGACGGGCATTACTAGCTGATATAGGTGCAGGTTGGAAAAGAGTAAGTGGTGGCCAAACAAAAACATGGCCTCATCAATCCATGAAATCCTTGACGGCTAAACTGAGTCAGGTAGGGAGGGAGATGCAGACTTCCGGGTTGGGGCCCTCGGGACTGACTCTAGGAATCAATGGCTGGAGACAATAGGTGACATGGCTCAAAATCGTTGTCAATGGCCAGCGCAGATGTATTCAGTCTCTGTAATCTTTCATATTCCTTTCTACCATTACCCATTCTGTTTCACTCTTATACTTGTCAGACTGTATTGATTCTCTTCACTCATCTTCTTGTGTACCATTGTGTGGTATTTGGAACGTGGCAACTCGAACTGTTGCACTTCGGTGCCAAGTTCTATGTTGAATCCAGACAGAGACAGAAGATTCCTACATATTCTGTAGATGACTTTGGTTTGCCTGTTAGGATTTGGTATCCAGATTCGATCAGGGTATTTCAGGAGAGAGTTTTGGGAGGATCTTTTTTCTCCTTTACACAACCTTGAGGGCGAATGTTCAATTGATATATACACTTTGATGAGGCAATCAGTTCACCTACCTGATGGTGTGGCGCTAGGTATATCGGCTGTTCTCCAAACGTATAATTGAACATTCGCCTTCAAAGTTTTTAAAGGAGAAAAAAAATCCTCCCAAAACTCTATCCTGCAACACGTGATCGAATCTCGATACCAAATCCTCCTAACAGGAAAACCAACTTTAAAGTCATCTACAGAATATGTAAAAATCCTGTCAAAAATTGTACGAATCAAACTTCTTCAAACCACAGAAGCAATGGTAATCCACATGTTAAATCCCCGAACTCTGCATACAGGAGGAGTTTGTTCAGTCATTTAATCTATGTGTAAACTTGGGCACTGTGGTAGTAAGTAATTCCATATTATTCACCAATTTGAATGTACATATAGACACACATACACAGAAGGGAGGACTCATCGATCTCTGCAAGTAGGGGCTAGCTTCAGAGCATGTTCCTAAATGGCCCCAAAAACAAACAGAATCTTCAGAACCCATTAATGGTGAGAACAGGAAACCTAGCTCCTCTGCTGAGTAACATATTATAGAGACAGGATTAAAATTGACGCTAACACATCTTTTAAACCCTATCTATAAAACGTGTTTGGGGAGGGCGTATCCTAAAGTTTGTGGAAGCCTAGCTGTCAATTAGAAAGTTTAAACCACCTTTATGCGTTCAGATCAACAATTCATCATATTAAACCTTCCTTGGTAAATTTAGTTTTGATACCAGCCAAGGTAGATGTACTATTATCTCTGTTATTTGGTTTAGTGATCTTCATTGTTATTTTGACCTTCTGTATGTCCTTTTAAATTGACCTAATTGGTCTATTTTCTCACCTCTTAACTCCTTTTTAATTTCATATATATTCCTATGACAATTCCGTGTGTGATGATGACCAGATGGTTCGAATTGTGTTGTGAGCACAAATACATTGCAACACGATTCAGACAAATTACGTCTTATATTTTTTTTAAAAATTTTCCTTCACGTTCCCCAGTGGAACATCGGGCTTCAACCTAGTGGCTTGAAGTTTCTGTAGCAGTGGTGTTTATTTTACAGGATAGGGTTGCTAGCCTCATGCCCAACCTTTCCTGTTTACCAGCATTATTTCTGGCTTAGTGAGGTAAAGGAGTATGTTGGCGGTCGGGGATCGAACCCCGGATCATGTGAATGGTCGGCGAGTGTCCTAACCCGCTATGCCTCCGACGTACACGTCTTCTTATTGCTATATCTAAATTCCATATTAGTTTGTTGATTAGATGTATCACACAGTCAGTGAAACAGTATTATTATTTACTGGATGACACAGTTTCGAACAAAATTTACTATGGTTCATAATCATATATTCAAATTATAATCACACGATTTCGAAAATTGAGTTTTATAGTGTACTTTGTCCTCCTAGGGGTAGTAGAATTTTCCAGATATCTGGGTGGACAGGTGTCGGATCATTCCTATTACACGTGTTTTCAGTTGATTCGATAAACAAAGCTTCCGTTGTTATCAATCTCTCCCTTCACCCTGGTGTTAGATTAGATTTTAAAACTGTCATCCTATCCCCTCCTATTGTATGATTGTGTGTGTATCATTTAATCTACAATGGACCTAATGTATCTTAACTCCGGATATGTCATTTTTAATCGTATTATTTTCTTCCCTCACTCCCTATTGAATCTCTACCATTTATTACTACTGTTGTAGGCTTAACTTTTGTTCAATTTTGGTTGAATTCTACTCACATCTGTCAATCATATTACGTCATTCAGTTTACTCATTTAATTTCTACCCGATTAACACCTTCTATACTACATAATTTGTTAGCTAAGACGAAATTTACAACCTGAATGAAATTAGTGTCTCTCAAGACCATTTAAATCATTGTCAAGTCTTTTCCGCCAGTTGGTTCAAACCAGTAGAATCCTCCTATCTGAGAGCTGTCTTCTTTTCTTCCTGACATGTGAATGTCAGTTGTATCATGTCGTGGTAGTTATCGTTGTGAACAGTCGAAAACGAGCTCTCACTATTATACTAACTCATGGCATTAGAAAAATCTCCAGCAGAGATTGCATGGAAGAGGAGCTCCTCTGTTCCTCAAAAATATCCTGGCTCAAAATAACATTCTTTAGCCGTCCGATACTTCGAAACAACACGAAGGACAAACTCTTGCATATAACCAATTCAATGTGCATATACCAGTTCACCTGCTCGTACGGAGCTAGGCACATAGGTCATCGTTGTATTCGCATCCTTTCAAAACGTGTTAGAGAACATTACCCAGCGTGGCTGCAAAGAGGAGGCACCAGTTCAATCAGAAGTGCCATTATTGAACATCTGATTAACACCTCCCACAACATCTCAACTGATTCTTTCAAAGTGATTTACAAAGTCAACATAAACCTACCAAAAGCAGTATGTTTCTGACTTCTTTGTACTGCAGAACCCTCGCAATATGCATTGAGAAGCTGTGTGTTCAAAAGAAATTAGTCCAACACCTCTACAACTACCATGAACCTAGTTAGGTATGTTCCCTTTGCTTTCGTTTTTTTTTCTTCTTTTTTCGTTCTCTATTTTCTTTTTGAGTAATTTTTTCGTTCGCTGTGTGTCTAATCCTTACTCCCTCAGTTTTCATTCGATTCACTGCATTTTTTCAGTTATAAAAGCAGTCATTTTAAGTTTGTTTCCATGCTTTTCCTGTTCACATTTATAATTCGTTTAAAATAACTATTTTACAATTATATTCTCATCCTGTGCAATTTTTGTATTTCTAAGGCTCTTGTAATCTATATTCACACCTCCTAACTCCCATCTCAAGTTGAAAATTATTATTTCAATTTGTTTCCATGCTCATTTTTCTACACACTTGTAATTCGTTCTAATCCTGTGTAATTTTGTTTCTTAAGCCTCTCGTAAAAACCATATCTATAGTTGAAAATAATTATCACCTTTTATTCGCTGTCGTAATTATGTGTAATCAAACAAGAAAATGTAGCCATGTAAAATAATGTATTTAAATGCGATTGTACAGCTGCTTTTGAAAATGAAATAGCCGAAAAGACAGATATCTTTGCTGAACTCTTCGTGTTCTCTTCTTCTCTAATAGTGATTACAACAGCAAGCTCACAAATCTACTCGACAGGAAAGTTTGTGAACGGAAGAGACTCGTAAATTATTAAGGTTGTATTGACGGTCCCATCAATTATAGAGAATTTGAATAAGCGAGAACAACATTGATTGTCAGAATAACATGGTACCATCATTTATTTCGTTGGCTTCTCGTAGCTGCTTACAGCCTAAAAAATTTTCAGGTTTAGTACAAAACGTTTAACATACTTGCAAATTTTACATGTTGTCAGTTGACAGAAAGTTTCACAATTAGTAAACAGTGCTCAGAAAATTGCGTTATATAGTTTTTACGCATTCTTGCATTATAATTGTGAAACTTTCTGTCAACTGACAACATGTAAAATTTGCAAGTATGTTAAACGTTTCTGTACTTAAACCTGAAAATTTTTTAGGCTGTAAGCAGCTACGAGAAGCCAACGAAATAAATGATGGTACCATGTTATTCTGACAATCAATGTTGTTCTCGCTTTATTCAATTTATCAAGGGGAATAAATGCATGAAATATTTTAATCTTCCTATCATCATTGTCATCATCAAAGTAAACCCACAAAGTATACTTAATTCAAAACAAACTAACTAGGAGTGTAATCAATAATATAAATATATATATATATATATATAAACCTACTTTTAATTTAGACATAGCTTCTTGTGTAGTTAAATTACTAAGATCTAAATTTGTTTCAGGAGCTCCTGCATTTGTCATATCAGAGGAAACTTCAACATCTTGTGACCAATCATTGATTGGTGCTAGTTGGATAGCTAATTCAACTGCTTTCTTTGTGGCTGCTTCAACTTCGTCCAGTCTTGCTTGTACATCGACATTGGCCAACTTGTCTAGGCGTTCACCAGCAGCACGAACAGCCGCCATTACAGCTTCAGCTTGAGCCATATCCGCTTGACCAGCACTAGCAGCTGCTATTAATTCTTCAGCAGCTTTTAAAGCTTCCTGTTTGAAACAGAGAGATGATGCGAAAATTAAAACTGAAAGGAGACAAAATGAATTTGAAAAAAAATTTTAAGCAGTTAAATTTAAACTGCATCGGTAGAATGTTCACCAGCCACGCACATGTGATCTAGAGTGTGATTCCTGGTGGATGCACTCCTAAGTTCCGCAAAGCCATTAGTACGTCGATGGCACAATAGTAGAATGCTCACCGATCACGCCTCATGTGGTCGGGGTTGGATCCACGGTCACAGACGCACTTCTTTACCTCGATAAGCCACTAATAAGACTGGTATAGAGGGAAGGTTGGGCATGAGGGCTAGCGACTGCACCTCGTAAATATAAACACCATTGCTATTGAAACTTCAAGGTTCTAGATTGAAGCCCTATGTTCCACTGGGAACGTAAATAAAAAAATCAAAACCTCCTAAAGATTACTTCATCTGAAAATCTAATGCCCAAATGGCTTTCGGGTTAACATCTCCAACTTCAGAACTACTGGATGACATGAAATCACTTTCTTCAGAATTAGAGATACCTTTTGTTGAAATACAACTAGGTCCAGAGCACCCTGCTGATGTCCTCCAATCACGAAGGAGAGTCTCATAAACTAATGTCCACATTACAAATTGACCTGTAGAATTCATTGCAGTTGTTAGATTTCGGCATGAACTTAAATGAGTTAGAGAGAGAGAGATCACTGGAAACAGCCAGGGAACACTAGACAGCTGTTTTGTCCTAACTTGTGACTCTCCATCGGTGACCTACACAGCCTCCAACAGGTGTCTAACGTGAGAGTTTCAAGTTAACAGACCAGTATCGTTGGCTATTCAGACGCCTTGGCCAAAACTCCATGACTCGTCAATTCTAACTTTGTCAGTTAATGGTAAGCACCCATTTCCCGTCCACATGTTCGAGCCCATTGGTCACAACTTCTCAGTAGAGCTTCAGGATATCTATCCCGTAGTAGCCATCAGTGATCTGAAGATTGATATTCAAGTTGTGGAATCCAAGCGAATTCGGATTAATTTAATTCCTACTGTTAGACCACATCAAGAACCAACATCATTCAACCCCACTAGACGGACTACACACATGACACTGATTACAACCCCCCCCCCTTGCGCCTCTCCATCGAGTGACCACTACTATTCACTTACCAAATAATCAGTTCTAGCTTTTTCTAGCAATTGCTTACGAGCCTCTTCTAGTTGTCTACGATATTCAGCTGTAGCTGCATGAGCTTGATCAAGATCAGTTGTCTCAGGTAGGACAAAATCAGATATCAATAGGCGTTCAGCAGCTCGAATAGTTTGATTCATTCGAAGCATTGCTTGTGATTGACGATTCTTTAATTCTTCGGCATGATCTAAATCAACAAATTTGATAACCTGTTTACCAAATAAAAAAATAAAAGAAAGAAATTTGAAAAACGAAAATAAGAGAAAGATGAAATAATGGAGAAAAATACTTCTGGGAAGAGCATAGCCTAGAAAAATTTCCAGGTCAGTGATCAAAAACACGTGAGTCAGTAAAGAGATCACTTTTCTCGTAACCAGCGAGACATTGTTGACACGTGTCCACGAACTCTTACCAGTATAGAGTGATTATGAGCTGGAAAACCAGCAGCACTGGACACCTGTTTCATCCCAGTTTAGGACTCTTTGGCTGTAATAACCTACCGTCAGAAGCTTCAGTTTTACAAGGCAAGTCCATAGACCATTCTCAGTCACCGGGACTTGATCCAACGGCCAACCCCATAAATTCCAACTTCAGCCAATCCACGACATATACCAGCATGGTTATCATCAAAAGGAAAATGCAACGGTCAGCAGCTCAGTTCTCTAGCACATAGTTACTTATGGTATCATGCAGAATTATCGGCCACTTTGTTGGAAGTCATACGCAAAATGCGGTCAAACCGTTCAAAGGATTTCACCTGCATCTTCTTCATGCAATCGAAGCTTTTGCAATCCATAAGGAAAAACTCTGTGAAATTTTTGTTCAAAAACGTTTTATTTAGGGTCTCTTTTATTACCATGGCCTTAGTGTCAAATATTGGACCTCCTGAATAATTCTAGAATAAACTCTATGTGGTTGTTTATATTTTTGTAGCGCCTTTTTTCCATCTTTGTTCTCAAACGATTACTCATCGCTCAACTAACTGATTATTTGTCAACCGCCCCCTCCTCGATTACATAAGACTATACACAAACTCTTCAAACAGTAATATTACTCATACACTTTGACTTATCTTTGTTACTAAGTCGCAAATAACCTCTGACTTCTGCTGTCAAATGACACTGTGTATATGTAAACCGCTTAAATAACTGTACAACTTTGAAGTAGAGCTAAACGAAAAGGGATCTCTTTACTTCCTTGTGTGTTCTTCATAACTAGCAAAATCGATCAACCTTGACCACACGACAACCAATGAAACTTTATATTTCAAACGCTCAAAGCCCTATGTTCCAGATGGAAAGCGAAGGAATAGAAAATAATTTTAAAAAATAATAAATTTGTGAATCATTTCGTTAATGAATTTCGTGCAATGCTGAATATGCCATCAAGACTGACGGTGAAACGTCCAAGATCAGACGAAAAAGCTTGGGGAACACAAGGCTAAATCTCCTTCAACTTCATCTTGAGTTATAAATTACATTTTTTTAACCTCAAAGTTAGAATAGCTGTGACAATAATAAGCAAATAGACGCTGAATACATTTTCATGCCATAGTAATATATGCAGTATTCCCGAATGATTAGTTGTACTGCATTCTAAAAGTTAATAATTTCAATAACAGCAGCTTGTTTACAGAATACAGTTCCTGTGAGCAATCGAGAAACAGCTACATGCCATCAGTCAGAATTAATCTGTTCTAATGTTACGCATAAAACAACCAAAAAGTTGTTTTCTATGAGCTGGAAAGTTTATTTGCGTCAGCTTGAACATGATTGGTTGCCTCTGCATGTCTTATCAGTCCCTAGTCCAAATGTATTGATTATTTTGTTGACCTTCTGACCACTGAAACAACAACTACCAATCACATAGACTGATTGGCAGACAGGCTGATAAAATTGTGGAGACTTAATTCTGGATGCTTATTCTCCAAATTAAAGTCTGAACTGAAGATGTTGTCTAGAAAGACAATGAAACCTTCTCAAACAAATCCCATCCATCCCAAAAACATGCAAACACCAAGAAATATCCAACTGTGCTACAATTCTTCTCCATCATGTCACAAGATAAGCGTCGATTGGGGTTATTATTATATTATTATTATTATTTAAACGCATAAAAACTTGCTACAATATGGCACCAAGAAAGATGCGCCATACAGTAACAATAAAACAATATATATATATATATATAAGTAGAGACTGGATAAAGAACTTCATCTGGAAGGAAAACAGTCAGGCTTAACAGGTTCAAACAGTATTCGTTAACTATCATCGAGAAGGGAAGAAAAAAGGAAATTGCAACACGTGTAATAGCACGCGATAAGTTTCATTGATTGTTTGTTGCTTCATTCAATTCATTGTGTGAGGGCTGAAATACTTCCCGGGCGCCCAGACCGACGCACGTGGTTTTATTAAGGGGCCATCCGCCGAGCCTTTGACTTGGAGTCTAATCCGTAAGGCAGCGGAGCAGCGTCAGGAGCTGCATTCCCATGGGTTCATACGCCATTTGATCAGATTGGATACTGGAGCCCATGTACCCCATGGTAACTGCTTTTAGTTTAACCGCTATCCAAACAACTTTCCTGACATGGTAGAGTCTCAGTTTAGCATGTTGGGTCATTACGGTATTCAAGCCCGACCACCACAACAAGGTAGCAGTTATCGGCCGGGCCGACTAGGGGTTGGGATGAAAATCTCGGACCACTTTCACTTTCATTCATTGCCACCTATGCGGAATAAGTCTCCTAACGCAAAACCAACTCAGATATACAGTCACCCTACTATCAATCTCACCATTCATACATATAACAAGAACTTCATTAGCTGAAATGCAAACTTGTAAAAGCACTGGACCTTGAAATACACATATTCAATATTTAATATTGCCTAGAATGAATACATCTCAAAAAATCCGTATACACAGACGTAAACTCACACACATACACATATAAAAACAAATAATTCACATGACGTATAATACGTATAATAACATTAATCTAACGGAAAAGAAAACTTCACATCTCAAAGAGAGAAAACAAAGCATTTTGCTTTGTTTTAGAAAAATCAACAACTCAGGAAATCCTGTTCTCATTACATAATCAATTATTTCATTAAGTGAGTGGCTTGATGAGATTGTCCGTTTCTATACATACGTATATGGTAAGTAACAATTTCTCACCCAATGTAATGTGCTGTTGAATATATAACGATTAATATCTGATATCATTATTATTATTATTACTATCATTATATAGACAGATAACGTGAGTAGGTTAGTAACAGTTTTGAGAAAAACAAACGATAAGCCTATATATATATATATATATATATATATATATATATATATATATATATAATGGGACATCTTATTTAGTTAAATATATATAAATTACTACTGTAACATTTGTAAAAAAAATTATATTTGTAAAATCTCAGTGAAACTGAAATGATTAATTCCAACGTTTCGTTCGGCAATCTGGTCCGAACTTCTTCACGGTAATTAATCGAAATTAACACAACAGGTTTATATATAAAAAGCGGGACATCTCTTGTTTTTAAAAACTTTGTCCAATCATCAGTCATAAAACAAGTATAATAAACAAAATTGTACGAGTTGTGATCAAAATTTGACCTCAAACTTACAAATATTGATCCACCTTTGTTAAACACTTTAAACACAGTGTGTATGTGTGTGTGTGCGGATAAACAGTTGTAAAACAATGTCTTAACGTCTCCTTAAGTAGATATAGACAGTCGAGGAACTTTGACCAAGTATTATTAGTTAGTGATGCATTACCATTCTTATTTATTAATCAGGATTTCCTATGCATCAGCTAACATCACACCTTCATGTCTGTTCAAACTGTTAGCATCTAGAATTTTATGATTAGACGTATTTTCAAAATTATGGTGTTTAGGATTAGAGTTTAGTTTAAGCACCCTGTCAAACTTATTACTTTGTATCCTTTCTGAAAATTGAGCTGCTTTATTCGACCTACTAAAGTTGTCAGGTGACTCGACAGCTACGAATTTAGGATACGCATTCTGTTGTAGACAACGGAGAGTGGAAACACGATGATTGTGCCAATTACATAGTTTCTTTGTTAATTTAATTCGATTACAAAATAAATCAAACGAACTGTAGTCAAGATTTGACAGAATAGTTCTAAAATATTTGTTCCCGACTGTCTATATGTACTTATGGAAACGTTAAGACAGTTTTACAATTGTTTATCCGCACACATACACACTGTGTTTAAAGTGTTTAGCAAAGGTAGATCAAGTCTAAAGGTCAAATTTTGATCACAGACCATACCATTTTTGTTTATTATACTTGTTAATATTTGTTTTATGAATCACGATTGGAGAAAGTTTTTAAAAACAAAAGATGTTCCTTTTATATATAAACCCGTGTTATGTTAATTTCGATTAATTACCCTGAAGAAGTTCGGACCAGATTGCCGAACTCAACAAATGTTGTAATCACTCATTTCGATATCACTGAGATTTTACAAATATAATTTTTTACAAATGTCTACTTCTCACTTGGCGCCCAAATATTTTAGAACTATTCTGTCAAATCTTGACTACAGTTCATTTGATTTACTGCTGTAACGGTACTAGATGGGAGACTTCGTGAAAGGAAGATTTATTTGCAACTTGGTATATCTTTATATAGCCAATTTTTGTACACGCAACGCACCATCTGCACAGGTCTTCTGAGTTGGTTATGCTACTTCCGGCCTTCGATCATATTATTATGGTTCCTATGTATCTCCGCAGCGCTGTATCATTCGCTTTCTCTGACATCAAATCTATCTCTATCTGCTTGCTCTTTGATGTTTTCGCGCTGATGATTATCTCTTTATAAGCCACGGATAAATCCTATCAGTATCACACGCCACGCTACTTCATATGTACGATGGTGATTATTTAAAGTTTTGTAAAAGAGAGGAAGCCATGATGACTCTTCAGTAACTTATACCCGACCGATAACTGCTACCTTGTCGTGGTGGTCGGGCTTGAATACCGTAATGACCTAACATGCTAAACTGACTGGGACTCATGCCCCTGCAGGTCCTACCATGTCAGGAAGGTTGTTTGGATAGCGGTTAAACTAAAAGCAGTTACCATGGGGTACATGGGCTCCAGTATCCAATCTGATCAAATAGCGTATGAACCCATTTTAGAATAACAGTCAGTTATGCGGT